ATCACTTCAACAAGAAAATGTACGAGGAGTTCAAGCAACTGGCTGTGGAGGATGGGAAGGAGGGATACAGGTAGGAGAGAATGGGCAGAGCGGCCTTTCCTGGGAGGGGAGCGAGGGAAGAAGGGTTTGGCTTTTGGCAGCACTCAGGGCCAAACAAGCGCAGCCTCTCTGCCTCGCTCAGAGCGGCACTGGGGCCGCCCTCGATCACTCCTGCCGCTGGTACGCGGCAGGGATCTTGCCTCGAGAGTCTCTGCCCGGGCGTTGCGTGCACCGGTGTCTGAGCACCGCGTGATGCTCTGTTCCCAGGTACGGTCTGGAGTGCCTTTTCAGATACTACAGCTATGGGCTGGAGAAGAAATTCCGGCCAGACATATTTAAAGACTTTCAAGAAGAGACCATCAAGGATTACGAAGCTGGTAGGTGCCTCCTTTGGCATCCCCGGGGTTGGCAGCAATGTAGCTCAGCTGCATGCCTGCCCTTGGCTGCCTCTCATGCCTTTGGGAAAGCCATGTACAGGAATGCATGCAGCAGGGACCTGGGTGTCCTGTCGCTGCCACCTCAGCTGAGCCTGGGGACAGCCCCAGTCTAGCGGGCTGCCCGGTGCTGGTGGCGGTTGCTTCCCTCCAGGTTCTCTCTGTTGCCTCGGTTGTGCCCACCAGTGGGGCTGATGGGTCCGTGGGATGAGTAGTGGGGAAGCTGGAGGAAAGAAAGGGTTTTGACGTTTGGGTTGACTTTTGTCCTGCTGACAGCTGGTTTGGTTTTCTCCCACTCCAGGACAGCTCTATGGGCTGGAAAAGTTCTGGGCCTTCTTAAAATATTCCAAAGCCAAAAATCTGGACATTGACAGCAAACTACAAGAATACCTCAGCAAGTTCAAGCGCCTCGAGGACTTCCGAGTGGATGTGAGTAGACGCAATGCCTGCACCACACTGATGGCCCCTGCAAACGGCCCTCGGGCTCCTCCGAGGACGAGGATTTGGGGGAGCGGTCCCCACGCTGTGCCAGGTGGGGCAAGTCAGTGACACCTAGTGTCACGCCCTGTCATTGCAGCCAGGCCAGGAACAAGCTGCAGGGTTTGAATATTGCAAATCCACTTCAGAGCAGCTCTCTGGGGAATTGGATGAGCCCGAGCTAAGGAGGGAGGAGGAAGGTGAGCCTTGATGGCTTGAGTGGAACCAGCATTGTGTGGAGCGTCAGCTCCCAGACTTCTGGACTGAGTGCCTCTGTGTGGAAGGAGGGGGCGGAGAGCAAGTTGTCACCCTTGTGCTTGGTTGGAGGTCAGTCTGTCTGGCTGGCAGCGGTAGATTTGGAGAGGAGGGCAGCTGTGTGCTCAGGGTGAGTATGCATGTTCCGTTGTGGGTCAGGGAGAGAAGTTGCAACTGGAAGTTTTCAGGAAGGCTGTTCCCTCATCCAGGGGGAGGGCATCTGCATTTGGAGGAGGCCATGCTGATTCTGGGGTGCTTCTCTTCCAGCCACCCATGGGGGAGGAAGGTGGACACAAGAGATACCCCATGACGTCAGGGGGAGATGGCAGGAAGCGCTACCCATCCCAGTCTTCCAGCAAAACGGTCAGCCAGTGCCCGTCCAGCCAAGGCCAC